ATCTTTGACGTATATTACGTTTTTGTTTTATTTCGTGATAAACTTGAATTTTTGCTTGTACAGTATATGTATTCATTTACTTTTTTACATCCAATCATGTTTCTTTTGCTATGAGATCTTCTTAGGTGAACATTACACTTGTGCGCTGTGACACAGTGCGGGATGTGTAGTATTTGCCGGTCATGGATTGGCTCTGTAGTGTCAATAAACTGGTGTATAACAATTAATGTGTCCAAGAAAAAGAGAGAAAAGACGGCAATCAGGTATTGATTTGGTGTTTGTTGCGTTGGTTGCTCTAGTGACCTCCTTGAACACGCAACGCTCCAAATCTACACTGTTGATTTTCTCCAACGATCATCAGTTCATCAGTTTGAATCCCCCCGTATTTGACTTGAGGAAAATAACAGGCCACGGAACTGCAAGCGTTTGATCTGCCTGCTAAAATTTTATGAAATATTTCCGCTGAAAATAATACATTGAATGGCATGCAATGAATGGCGAACATAAAATTTTGTTCGCCATATTTATTGGCATTGTAAGGCCTGTGCTTTGAGAGGATAATTCTCAAGGGTATAAAATAAATTACTCCGCGAGATTGTAAATACTTCCTTTATTCCGGCAAAGGTACCGAAAATTTATATATCTATAATTTTGTAATGATATTTAAGTTTTAAAAATGTTGTGATGAAATTGATGAAATCATTTTTCATGAAATTGAATTTTTTAATTTTTTTCCTCTCTACACGACTGTAACTCTCTTTCAGAAGGCAAGAGTCTCGGGATACACCGGGTACAGTTTCTAGATTCCAGTGACGTAGCTTCCAAAAGGTGGCACTTTGCAGTACATTGTGTGGTTCCATACTGCAAATTCAAACCAACAGGTCTTTGGAGTGCCATTGAATTGAGCCTTGCTGCTGGCGAGCTCGCTACCGCGCAGATGTAGCTAAGAAAATTCAGCTTTAATTATCCTGCCAGTGCATGTACGAGAAATCTTGACTGCTCCTAAATTCTGATGAGAGTCGTGATCATGATACTGTCACAGTATAATTGTTCAGTGCATTATATAGACATCGGGATACCGCTGTGTATGAAAGTGTGTTGGGCTATGGAAGACGTACATGTGTCAGATGCACGTGAATAATTTGTGAGACGCTAACTTCAATTTATTACATAAGCAAATGATTTTTGTAAAAAATAAATTTTGCTTTTTGTAAACTCGGTAACTTAGGGTCCCATCTGTAAATCTTGGAACTGAGGTAGAAACTAAAATCAGCAATTACTTGTTAAGAATCGAGGCTCCAGCACTCTGCGTAATGTTCAATTTGGTTTTCGTTGAGGGCATATTACTAGGGGAGGTTATCCCTTTTTCACATGCTAACTAAAACTGAGTTTTCTCAAGATTCGTCAAACGAATCGTAATGAAATCGCTAAATTTCCAAGATACAGGAAAGTTCGCGATCATAGTTACTGTTAAATTATGCTAAAGTATGTACATATTCAATCTGTTTACCAGGTAAATTTCTTAAATATATTTTCAAAATAGCGAGTTTTGTATTGTAGGAGACTGAAAAGCCATTCAATAACCCAGGCTTAGCTCATAAAACTGACAAGTGCGTCATTCTGCGTCATGCAAACGTCACTTACGTCTATCCTAGAAATGTTAAAGGTTACAGTGAGATCTCGCTTCGACGACTTACAAAGGATGTTCGGTCCCGTGAGAGTGAATTTTTGCTAGGGCTTGTGTTGAACGATGTCAACTTTATTTTAAAGGGAATTCTGTTTGTTATTTTATTTGACGTTTTACGATGACGGGGCTGAACTCTGTATTTTCCCCTTCCAAATAAGCAGTGAGCAAATTGGTGCAGCTTGAAATTCATTAGTAAAAGTATCATTTAATACTTGTAACTATAATTTCTAGTTCTACGTTGAATTCTTTGAATTCTTTCTTCAAGAATTAGAGAGAAGAAAAATTTACTGACCACCTCAGAAGAAATCAGTGGTGCTCTACATTACCTAACTGATTAGTTCTAGTTAGGATTAAATTTTTTCACAATCAGCCTTTAATTTCAGTTCCAGTAAATTTAAATACTAGCTAATCTCAAATATGCTCATCCAATGACCAAAGTAATGATACAGATAATGTAGCAAGCCCCACGTGAGCCAGAAAGTGCTTTACCAGCATTATGGTTATGAATTGCTTATTCTTCGAGTGAATATAAGTGAGTGCACGACAGCTCAATGGCGACGTAAATGTCTGGCTCTCGTGATATTAAAGTGTGTCGTAAAAAGCTAGTTTCAACCAATTTTCGACCATATTTCAATGCTTCGTGATTGCCACTGACTCGAGAGACGAGACCATTACTCGTATCATGAAATTCTATGAGTTTCAACATTGTCTCTTGCTAGAATAATGTACACGGGCCGTTCTCTATAAGGTATTATGAATACTCTTCATCATAGCTGTAACCAAATGTGATTTTTTGGTTGCAGCCGATTTTGCAGTTGAGAAGTTTAGCTTGCTTATTTCGTTAGAACGTTTGGTAATTATTGCACACTCGAATTTCTCTATGCTTTATTCGTAGATATTTTTCTGCGTAAGAACAACTAAAGTGTGCTACAAAACCATAATTATTTATGAAGGAAGATATCGCATGTTTTTTATAATATTTTTGAAAACGTTTTTCCTTTTTGTTGTAGTGTAATCTTGTTTGTTGTCACCGTTGCGTCAAAGATGAAATTTATCGGGAATAGAACCTGCAGCAAGTTTTGAAGAAAATAATTTAGCTTTATTTAAGCTCACCCACTACACACATTCCAGTTTTATTAACAGAAAAATATACACAGTGTTGATGAAATTACTTATTATTATTAAGTGAGAAATAACGAGCATAATTAAGACTACGTAAATTAGACATATTTAAAAATATTCAGTACATGAGTAAACTATTGCCGTGGAAAATTTTTCATCATAACGTAAGCTTTCTTTTCGATCTATTCATCGCTGAGCTAAAAATTGATGATAACGAGGATTAGATTACAGTCATTCTGCTCGTGCGTGTAACTTTTATCCATATTTCAATAGTCAAAAAACGTACAAATGTGTTACTTGGAAGGTAATTAATTTTAATTATCAATAATATTTTCCCCCTTAAAATTTAAAATTTTATTTGAGAAAAACTTCATTAAAAAAGTGCGTCTTCCTTAAAATTTTTCTAATTGTCTGTGTTAAATCAAGCAGAAATATTCGTGTGTTCCTTTCTTTACGTCTATAAAATTCCAAGCACTGGAAAATTTTTGCTCCATTAAAGTCACATTAGCAACAAGAGATATTATCGCTTGACCGTCTACGCTTTTCTGTGCAACTAATTAATCAGCAGTCGCTGCTTATAATGGCTTACCGCTCTCTAAATTGTTATTCAAAGCCAAGTCTTGCAGCGTCACTGAAAAAACGTAAAGCTTGTGAGATGTCGAAGTCATGTTCATGGCAGCCTTCAAAATAGTATTTAAACTTTCATATCGTAGTCTTTAGGCCTTCAAATCGTTCTATTTAAACTTTCACATCGTAGTCTTGTAAGCCTTCAAATCGTAGTATTTAAACTTTCATATCGTAGTCTTTAAGCCTTCAAATCGTAGTATTTAAACTTTCATATCGTAATCTTTAAGCGTTCAAATCATAGTATTTAAACTTTCATATCGTAGTCTTTAGGCCTTCAAATCGTTATCTGCAGAAGCTTGAAATGTTCCAGTTTCTTGCCAAATTCTGGGCATAAATCTTTCACTAAACTTCTGGCCTAATCTGGCTCGGAGACGACGGCATAATCCAAAAGACGTCAAGCGCCCTCGATTTCGCCTCAAGTCTGCATTTGAAAGACAAAACTAAAATTAGTCAATTCTGCTGTTACTGCGATTTATTCAAACGAACAAATTTAAACGCACAAGTCTGATGAGAACTTAATATGGATTACTAAGAGAATTTCGGGTGCATATCTTTATTACGAATAGAGAACTTATGACGATCTATACTCTATAGGAATCGTATCGGCATATAAATAATTTATTCCATGTTGATTAAACTCCTTTTAGACAATAATTAGTTATCCGAGAACTGTGTTATTTAATTTGAAGTTAATTAGGTTCTACCGCAATTATCAATGAGGAAAACCGAGCATCATCATTTTCTGCCCTTTTGTCTACAGCTAAGTAGCTTCTGTTTATCCGGGCTTGGTCATAGAGAAAACATTACAATGATGAAGCATGGACTTGCACAAAAAGTTGCGTTTCATAATAGCTTCAGCAACTTTTCTTGTCGAACTTCAAAGTCGTCGTTTGAAACGACCGCAGCGAAGCCGTGTCTTGCTTATGAAGAGTCTGGAAGTTGAAAATTACTCAGAGGAACAGCGTCGAGGTTCACTAAAACTTGGCACACTGAACCTTGTGACGGACTACAACTCAGTTAGGCATCGTTAGGTCACGTCCTAATTAAAATGTGCTCTCAGCGACGCAGCCAGAAAAAGGAGATCTACCGACAACTAGGCTGAGATCGGCAGCTGCTTTCGAGACAATCCAGTTAGGCTGCGTCTGCTCAAAAACTTTGAGGAGCTAAAGTGTAGCATTAACTCAATTGTCTATGTAGTAATTATTAATAAGTCGCTATCACTTGATCCTCCATGATTTCATCATTTTAGAAAAACTGAAATTCCAACTCATGAAGACCCACTGAAAATTCTATTATAATTAGGCATACTTTTACTTGTCTTAAAATTAACTGAAATAAAATCAATATTAATAAATAAAATTATTAATATTTAGCGTGAATAATTGTTATTTTTGCTGGTATTATAATGTGTGTTCTTTTCAAGTGCAGGAAGCCGAACATTGGAAAGCCGAACGTGACATTGGAAAGCCGAAAAATTCCATTTTCCGACTTAATTCTAGTCACAAATTTCGGGACCTAGTTAGCTAGTCAATTTTATTAACGATGGCATTTTTTCGACGTGCAGGAAGCCAGCCCATCGACGGCGTAATGAGCTGCCTTGAAGCCCGACAGCAATGCTACAACGACCCACGCTGTGGCAACCTCCTCAAGCTTCAGCACAAGATCTGTGGCCCGGAGCTCGGTGAGTAACGACCAGGCTACAGCAACTATTGAAAATTCCTAAGTTAGTCGCCTTTTTAGTGGCAGTTCTTCGTTGATCACGAGACCGAGTCGCCTTGTGGTCGATTATGTGATTTATGGTCTACTGGCGACTGTGGAGCCATGGCCGTTTGATGATAATCCGGCGGATGATTGGCAGGCGATTTTACTGATGGTCGGCAGCCGATTTTACTGATGGTCGGTCGGCAGCCGATTTCACTGATGGTCGGTCGGCAGCCGATTTTACTGATGGTCGGTCGGCAGCCGATTTTACTGATGGTCGGTCGGCAGCCGATTTTACTGATGGTCGGTCGGTAGCCGATTTTACTGATGGTCGGTCGGCAGCCGATTTTACTGATGGTCGGCAGACTATTTTACTGATGGTCGGCAGCCGATTTTGTTGATGGTCGGCAGCATATTTTGCTGATGGTCGGGAGACTATTTTACTGATGGTCGGCAGCCGATTTTGCTGACGGTCGGCAGCCGATTTTGCTGATGGTCGGGAGCCGATTTTACTGATAGTCGGCAGGCGATTTTACTGATGGTCGGATCCCTAGTAGGTATCAACTGTTAGCGATCTAACGACGTCGAGGGAGACTTCTTCAAACAGATTTTTTAACAGAGCTGTGACCTCTGATTTTACCAGCTTAATTATTGTCCTTCCTTTCCAATTGCCTTCCAGAATGATTCCCTCTCAACGTTTGCGATGGATTCTAGTGAACGAATTATTCGTCTAACATATCTAGGTCTTGATGCCTATAATTATATCTTAACCAAATACGACAAATTAGCCGCTAACCAAATTAGACTTTATCAAACTGGGTATCGTAGCTTAGCCAGTGGGATAAAATTGAAAGAAGTAGAGATTTTCCTAATATCTCTAGTTCTTTCCACTATCCATTTTAACCATCCTCGTTTTCCCTTTGTTGGCGGGTTTCATAATTTCCGTCACCTCAACTTGGTCTTCCTACATATTTTGTTCTTCCTACATTTTAATTTTTAGTTGTCGATATGGCTTGGTGGATCACAAGTGAACATGAAATATTCTGCAAAACCTGAAAATGCTAACGAACCTGCGTTGCACCAATTCCTAAACCAAGTGTAAAGCAACATTTCATGCCATTTTCTATGGCAAAAAATTCAAATGTTGAGGGAAAGTCAACTTTGGCTTAATCATGCAACATGGAACGCATGTGTGCATTCGCAACCACACACACATACAGAAAAACTAGAATCCTTCTACTCGTGTATTCCAAACCTCGATAGCGAGATAATTGCTAAAAGTCGAACAGAAAACTTGTGAGGCAACCCGAAGATCAACAAAACTGCAAGAATTTAAAACTTAAACAAGCACGCAAACATTGATATGCCTTTAAATAAAAGTTGGTTAATTCGTTAATTTTAGGTTCAGAGAAAATTTTGGTCGTTGCTTACGCTGGTAAGCAACGACCTTTAACTAATCCGTATGTCGCATAGAACCTTGTCTACGGTGCGTGTTGAATGATGCTGGTGTAGAATTTTCACGCGTTTCCAGTCATGTGTAAATATAATTGAAAATGGTTTTAATCCTTATGCCAGTTTAAATATAATATTCATGTATTTGATTTTATATTGTAATATTGTTTGAAATTGACCGAGTCATTTTCCAAGGCATTTTTTCGATTTGTTTCTTTCTCATATACAGGAAGGCACAAGAACTAAAGCTTGAAATAGAACCTAGAATTTAGAACACAAAGCTTGAACTTGAAGCCTGAAAGTCGATCAGGGAATTTTAACTACAGTAGATTTTTCTTCTTGCCCTGGAATCCCATCTCATCTATCTCCACCCTTTGAATGGAATTGGAGTTTTCAAGGACCGTCACTGGCCGTGGATGATCATGCTAATGCCTGGTCTTAGCTGGCTTTTTGTGCGAGCCAATCGCAATATACTTGAGTATATTATAAAATTATCAGAAAATTATATCAATATCAGGTCCTGTCAAAGCTCTAGAACACACGTCCTCCTCCACCGCACTATACTAGACGATATCCGAACGAACGCGCTTAACCCCTTGAGTCACCAGCAAGACCAGGGTAAAATTTAGACAACCATTCAGCTGAAATACCGGTTGGAAATCGTCGAAGTTGCAAGAGCTTGATTTCGTATAGACTTGATCTCATGTATAAAAAAACTCTTGAAACATTTTAAAGAAATTTATGTTTGCCGTCCCTCATTCTTGAAGTTTTATCGTGCATCGCTAAATTTAAAGAAGTCTCGGGGTTTCACGATGTAAGAGTCAGAATTTTTCAATATGGGATAAATTGCAGTAAAATTATGAAGATTATTGGACAATTCAAATATTTCAACAAAGAAAGCTATTATTGGGTTTTCATCTTGACTGAAACCACTGACCAATAATTTTAATGACATAAAATGTTTTAAATAATTCAGTTGATAAAATAGTTGAAGAAAGCTTCTGAGTTAGTGAAGCCGTATCGAATGGCAAGTCCAATGTCAGGGATGCATTTTATTATTATATTTTAATTAAAGTAGAACAATTTTCCTGGAAATCTTCTACCTTTCGATTTCATACCGTTTTTGTCGCTGCGGTCACGTCTGACATCGTGAATTTTTTTTGGCAGAATAGGAAGTTTTTCAAAGGAAAACTGCTAGCTTAGTACCGGTATATGACATATGGCGCCGGTATGATATCAAATGGAAATATTTGATATGATACGTATATGTTTATGTTTAATATGTTGAACATAAACAGTGTTAATGTTTAATATGTTAAATAAATTGCTTGCTTCTCTTATTAGAAAAATTAAAATTCAACTCTAACAAGCGAGAGATGAACAAGTGAAAGCGGGTCGAAATTATGACACATCCTTTGTTATATATTTGAATCAAAATAGTTATTGGGAGGCAAAAATATTTGATATAGGTAATTTTTTTGTGTCTCTCGGCATCGCTATTTATGTTCGGAGCGGCATAACAATGCACGTTTATTAATACCTTTCGATAAAACTGAGAATGAGACTTCTTGTCTAAAATTAGATGTCTAGACACAAGCACGTAAATTTTTCTTACTCGTGTAGACCTCCTCCATCGCATCACGCCCACGCACACTAATTAAGTTAACGCTGAAATTACGAGTTCGTTTTAGCTTGCCTACTGAATAACAGTGCAATGAATGTATTTTTATTCTTTCACCCATGAGATTGAATGCTAAGAAAGTTGTGCCTTGCAACTACTTGTTGCATTACTGAGTTTTCATTTTAAATGAGTTGACAATTAATTACAAGCTCGTGCTAAATTATATATCATTTAGATATACGAGTAGGTGGCAGAAGATAGTGGCCTCGCTCTGGCCCTCAGTTTTGATGGCATTTAAATACAAAGAGCTTGATTAGCTCGCTGCTATCTCGTAGCTGCACGCCGCCTAGCTTTACTATCGCCTGTTTTAAAGGCCTGGTAACTTCAGTTATTTTAAGTGGACCAAGAGCTAATGAGACGTGTTGTATTGGATGCTTCGTCTACTGCTGTCCTCGCATTCGTTGATCTTGCATTTATAAAATCAGATATGTTTAATTGTTTATAAGTAAATCCCAATAGCAGAACAATAAATATTTAGAGATTTACAATAATTTTGGCCATTGTAGCGGCTAATGTAGCGGCGCTACATTTTATTGTAACGGTAGCGGTAGCGCTCGCTACAATCTATATAGTGGGTGTAGCGGTAGCGGTAGCGCCCGCTACATTTAGAGCATGTAGTGGTAGCGGTAGCGGCGCTACAGTTCAAAGTAGCGCTGCCCAGCTCTGGATATGTTGTATAATATTATAAAAATGGCCAGGAAGATATGAAACGTACAGTATCTGAAAATATTTCAAGAATAGGATAAATTGCATAGAATCGGTGAATATTGCAACTGTACCATATACGTATATAGGATCTGAAAATATTTCAAGAATGTGATGAATGCAATAGTATAAAGTTGCATTTTAGTGAATAGGATAAATGCCATATCATTAAAAAATTCATGAATAGGATAAATTGAATTAGATAAGATAAAAAGTAGTGGAAATATTTTAAAATAATTAAAGTTTAATGTTTTGGATTGGATCGATATAGATCTCGTGCGCCAAAAAAATATCCTCCTTTCTTTCAAAATTGTGTATCGTGAAATAATTGTAGCGAAAATGTGGACGTATTTTTATTTTAATTAGTTTAGTTATTGAATTGAATTCTAGGGATTTTTAATGTAGGAGTACAGTATTCATACTACAACCCAATTAAGTTGTTTATTAATACATGAGATATATAACATACAAGATATTTAAGAGGCACCAGTATATAAGATATAACAATAATAAGAGTGCAAATAAATTTGAATCACTCAAATATTTGTGAAGGAATGATATTTGAATGAATGAATGAATGATACCGATGATTATTGGATGATATTTTAGCTGCTAATCATTTATTGGCTGAGATCAAACTTGTTTGGTTTTATTTACGAACACCAAATCATCCAGATTTCTTGATGAAATATTAGCTTGAATGTAGTTGACAAGAAGAATTTTTGCTGCGTGTTGGGAAGATTAGATCATTTTGCGATTAAATGTCGCAATCGGGTTTACCTTTGACCAAATGGAGATAAAAAAAAACTCTCGTGTTAGAAATGAAAATTACAGGAATGTAAGCTATATTGAATAATAATATAAAACCGTGTCAAGTATTCAGAAAAATCCATTATTTGTTCTAACTTCCTCGTCTCACTATGATCTATTGGAACCCGATCTTGGAAAGATCGGGTTCCAAAGGCCGGATCCTTTGTGAATCAAGTCACGAAAAATTCAAGAATCGGCAACAGGCCATGGGCCTATTTCTTCAGTGCCGACACTTCTATTATATTCTATGAACAAGAATCGGCAACAGGCCATGGGCCTATTTCTTCAGTGCCGACACTTCTATTCTATTCTATTCTATTCTATTCTATTCTATTCTATTCTATTCTATTCTATTCTATTCTATAACAGCCACGCCGGTCAAGTGCCAGAGACTGCTGAGGTCCCTGCAGAGCTTCAGTTTCTTCATGCGATGTCAGTGCGCGGAGACTCACATCGACTACACGTGCTATACCTTCCGCCAGACCATCTTTGAAAATCCATGCTTGCTCATTAATTTCACCTCTTCCGGCACCGCCTTATCCAGAAGCAGAGGTAAATTTAATCTATATCGATAAATTGATCGTAGAGAGACCTTGTGTTTTAAGGAAATTACCTTTGGCGTTTCCATTAAAAATGTACTCTGTAGGCCAAATTTCATCAGAATTTTTAATGCATATAGCTCTTGTTTTGATTAAGGAGCAATCTCCGTTTTGAATTAAAAAATAACATATGAAATTTGTCAATTTATAATGCTAACTTATAGTATGATCTCTATTTTGTGACTATTTCAACAAGAACGAACACTAGTTCGAACACTAGTTTTAACTAGTTCCCATTACTCATCCCTATCGTATGCCTAATGCCGTGTCCGTGCATCAGCTCTCATTTTAATGAAATTACCCTAACCGCAGTAGACTTTACAAACTCGAGGCAAAAGTGTGGAGTGATGCTAATTTCTTCGGACGATAGCCAGGTTTTCTGCGCCTTTTCAAAACTAGATGACAGTTTTAAAGCTGAGCTGGTGATGCCTCCAACGGCAGCCTCTCGCCGCTCCCGAGTTTATTGTGAAGAAAACTTTGCAGCCCAAATTGGACAAAAGACGAACGTGTTTGGGAAAAAGAAATTCAATTCAACTCGTTAGAATTGAGAAAGAGTCGAGGCAGAAACGATAAATGTTTCCATGACGAAAATTCTAGGAATTTAATCAAGCATTTTGCATTGTGAAAAATGTCAATTCTAAAATTGTGTAAATGAATTTTTTCAGCTAGATCAAGCTTTACAGCTGCCAAAATTTATATTTGTCATATAAAGTGTACAAAATTGTCTGCTAATTATATTATAAATAATTTTGTAGAAATTATGTTATAAAGTTATCCATTTTATTAAGTTGCACAATTGAATAACTCGATATTGCCAATGCTATCTTTGTTCAGGATTAAATAAATTAATTCAATAGAAAAAATTTACACTTCAAAAGCCGTTGGAAAATATTTTAGTCAACCGAGTTGAAAAACCAACTTCCAAGCTTGTGTCAATATACCTCAGAACTTCTCAAGTTGAGTTATCAACAAGTTTGAAGAAAAACTTCCTCGACAAGGAAGACATCGTTGGAACCCAAGTTTAGCAAGAAAATTTTTGTTTTCGGACTGTAAGGTCATAATAGAGTTAAGTCAAGCGTGAGATCGATCAATTATCGCTGCTCGACAGTTTCCGATGTGGGCAATATTCCTTGCACGACACTGTTCTTTGCCTGACACTGTTCTTTGCCTGACACTGTTCTTTGCCTGACACTGTTCTTTGCCCGACACTGTTCTTTGCCTGACACTGTTTTTTGCCTGACACTATTCTTTGCCTGACACTGTTCTTTGCACGACACTGTTCTTTGCCCGACACTGTTCTTTGCCTGACACTGTTCTTTGCCTGACACTATTCTTTGCCTGACACTGTTCTTTGCTCTACACTGTTCTTTGCTCTACACTGTTCATTGCCTGACACTGTTCTTTGCACGACACTCTTCTTTGCCCGACACTATTCGTTGCCCGACACTATTCGCTGATCGACTGCATTCGGCAATCAATGTTCGATGTTCCGCAACTCGTGTTCGCTGGTCGACAAAATTTGCACCTCTAATTGAACTGATCATTTATCTTAACGAGCAGGTCAAATTGGATCGAATTTTCCTTTCAACCTAACACTGAAATTTTTTTCTCGCATGTTTGAATATTATATACTTGCTTATTTCTTGCTTCCTCTCTGGCAAGGGAGATTCTTGATGATGATATTCTGGATATGGGACAATATTCTTGATGATGTTTGTTCCATTTTTGTGCACAGGAGACTTGGACGCCAAGCGAATATTGCCGATGTGTGACGATGCGCGGAACGAATGCAACTCGGATACACAAACTTGCTTCAAGAATCTCATGAACTTCAAGATCCAGTGCAAGATGTCCGCAGGCTCGTGTAACCGGTGAGAAATTTAGAGACTTGTGTCTTAGTTGCATCCATTATGTCCCGAAAAACTGGAATTAATAAAGAAATTTCACTGAATTTTTAACTCCGCATATGAAAGAAAAATTATCCAAAGAAACACTGCGTTTTTTGGCGATTTCACGATTTATTTTCATTATTTATTTTTCACCTCCATATATAAAATATAAATTGCTAAAACGTTTCGTTATTTCACGATTTCACTAATCCTATTTCTTTCCTGACCATTTAATTCTGACAGTGAGGAGTGCTACGAAGCATGGACCAAGATTCGCCAGTCGCCGGTGTTCGGGTGCACGTGTGTGGATGAGCCCCAGACGCTGCACTCGGTCTCCCAGTACGGTTCCCTGGCCCGCCAAGCCCCCGAACAAATACGACGCACCGCCATCTACGAACTCAACCAAGAGTCGCACCACGAGGACAACTGCATGGAGGTCTACGAACTCACCCATAACAACCCATGTCTCCGTGAGTAAATGCATGTGTTATAAATAAAAAAAATGCATGAATAAAAATTCAGTAACAAAACAAAAAAAATGTACATCAGTACAGTCTATTATCATTAAAGTCGAAAGTGACTTTATCACTGAGGGATACACTACTAGTTCTAAGTGTGTGACGAAAATGCAGAAATTTCATCAAAGAACAATCAAGGTTTTCTAACCCAGAATTGATATAGTTTATAGCCATTATGAAAATATGAACTGTTGATCAAACATGGAAAAGAATCTCAAAAGACAGTGAAGCTATTGAAGTGTGCCGCATACCATCAACATTTGCACCTGTGACCTTCAAGCCCAGGGTCACGATTGAACCTAGTATATTAACTGAGTAGCATGACCACTCTTTTTTGCCATATATTATCATTAAGGAAAGACTAGAAGATTGGGCAATGATGTTAATGCGTTACGTAACCTAGAAGCTTCATTGCATCAAGCCCCACGCATCAGGCACCTTGGTTCGTCTGTTAAAAGTTTTTTTTTTTTAAAGGTCTCCCACACTCACCATTCCAACAAAAAGGAATTAATTTTATTAGGAATTAATTTATATTAACTCTGATAAAACATTCAGACAAAAGGCTTGTTCCCCGCGTGCATGGCGCCTGGCAGTCGTTGCTAAATGTGAGCTCCAGTGCATGATAATTAATCATGAATATTTTAGCCTCTGTTGCGTTATTTTAAACAGTTTTATGTGCGGTTAGTTTTTAGCACCTGTGTGAGTAATTATCTGAACCACTCGGTTTTCAGGTTCATTGCCACGGTCATTAATTTATTTAGAATGCAAAGCAAACTAAATGTCCGACCAAATTCCCGCTTGTTTATTTTACTTCAAAGCTATAGAGCTCGTTCTTTTCTATTACATTTTACGGATTTTTCTTCTTATGTTTGTTGTTACAATAAATAATTTACGTTAAAGGTATTACGGGGAGTGGATTTGCAGGTTAAGATTTACTTCCACTTAATTGTTCCCAGATTGACTGTAGATCCATCTTGACGGAAAGATTTAACCCGGATTTTTTTATTATAAAATAATGCAATTAACTCACCTGTATTTTTCAGCAGAAGCATCCGACCAAATAAAAATAAATTTCTGAGTTAGAAAGATCCAATTGAAGCGGTAATTTTTTCTACTTGTTTCCGACTTCATGAGTTAACAAAATTCATTTTTTTTTAAAGATCCAAACAACCGTTTCAACTTGCACTACCTTTGAGGTGCAGCACTTCAATATTTTCCAGCAATTTTTTTTAAATAAAATTTTAATTTCACGGAAAATTTTACTTAGGCAGCAACAAAAAACGTCCAGTGAACGATAAATTATGATTAATAACCATCAAATAGCGCCTTATGGCTGCGTTGAACAAACATTGACGATTTACTTGCACACTTCATGATCATGGTACGATTCTTGGCTGTGTAATGAAGCTTTAGCTATTTGTGCAATGTTAATGGTAACGTAGATGAAAGGATTTCGGTGAAACAAATTATTCAAATTTTTTTCTCGGTAGCATCAATGCAAAAATCACATCCAGTCTTTGCATCAATCTAAAACATTATACCAAATTAATAAAAATCATACCATTAGTCAAAAAAATTAATTCTCGTCTGTCCTAATATTACGACACCTAATAATTAATTTCATGTAAAATGCTGAAAAACATCGATTTGCGGAGTTACCACATGAAGCTCTCATCCAAATAATAATTACTGCGGGCATGGCACACCACTGCGACACTCGCGTCAGAAGTTCATTAAAATAGCGCGTCTGAATAAATTGGTTCAGTCATCCAATGACGTGAAGTGCGAGCGCTGGACAATGGATCCGAACTGGCAGGATCCGAACTGGCGGGATCCGATTATATATTTTAGGTGAAGTTGTGGTGGCCGATTAAATGCCAACGAATCGATTGAATCCAAGCTGTGAATCAGAAGTACTTTCTTTTCGTTCAGTTGAAAGGCTATGACATCGATTCAATTTTGTTGTACAATTAAACATCTTGTGCAGGATCCGGGTTGAAAACAATTCCACGTTCCCTTTGAGGTTCGAAACTGCATGTTATTTTATTATTAGTTTATTTTTGGTTTCTTTATTATGTTATTATTGTTGATTTGATTTCATTATTATGTACTTAATAATTGTTCTGGAACTAAATTTACTATTGAAAAAAAGTAATGTTTAATTTTCAACAAACAATCAAGTGGTATGAGTTCTCACCATTGGTTCTTGATTTTTGATATTTTACTTCAAGGAAGAAATTGCACTTGTTTGACATAGTCTCAGCTTTGGCACTAAGATAAATTGTGAGAATTTCTAAATCTTAATTGATTTATTCCAAATCCTTTACTGTTGAGACACAATTTCAGAGCATTTTATACGCCTTCATTAAATTGTTGCCGCTCTTATTTCGCGAAGTATATTCTGTGCATGGATTTCTTCAGGCAAATATTGCAAAGTTTTAATGTCTAAAGCAGCTTTCTCGAGATAAAACTGCCAACATTTATCGCATTTCCGACGGCAACCAAGAAACGGCGGCCGCGCTAGCTGAGCTACACACAAAGGCCTAAAAAATCGGTAGTTTCAGTTCTCCAATGATTTCGCCTGCAAAAACCCTGTTTTTTATCGCTCTGATTTTGAAGGCAAGGCTCGCCATCGAATTCTGAGGCTTCGACAGGAAAAGTCCTCGGGGACTGAGCAGCGGCTGAGCATCTCCACTTCCGGTGGCGCACTCAAGTTTCTAGTGCAGCGGTTGTGTAAATTTGAATTGGTTTCCGCATTCAGGACTTGAGAGCTATTTGCACATGGAATTGAATTATGGCTGGTACGTTGTGAAAAAGCGTAAAAACTTAATACATTTTTGTGCATTAAATGCATTAATATTCCAATTTTGAAGGTTGCTCCAAATTACCAAAAGTTTATGCCGATTGCATAATTTTTTGAACACAGAATATACCAAGATTTTTACCTCGGTTCAGTAAAGTCACTAAATCAAGGTAGTTTTCGTATCACATGACAACAATATTAAATTAGATGAAACTGTTCTGCATTTATAACATTTCACTTTACAATTTTAATCTGCAATCTGTCATCACTTCAAAAATTTAATTAATTTTTCTGCAACAGATTTTTTGGAATACATTTTTACACCGAGATCTTTACACAGGGAAAAGTTACAAGCCAATGAGCTTTGATCGCCAGCTCCTCAATTTTTAATTGGTTAGACTTTTGACATGGAAACTGCAGATAATAAATTTCAGTTATGTATTTTAGGAAAGACTGCAAAAAATTAATAAACCTAATATTAAATAAAATTATTGTTTGGCTATTTGATATTTCTTTGTTTGATGCTAATAACCATAGTGAAAAATGCCGATGGGATATACAGAAAGATAGCGTGCTTCAAAATGAGCTATAAAAGAATCAATTTACTTCCGTGAATATTGGCTGATATTGATAAGTGAACTTTCAACAGTGAACACCTGAATAAAATAAAACGCAATTTAGTGCATAGTTTCATTGCTTAAAAATTTCCGCTCCATGTTTGTTATCGTAACTCTTTAATTGCTTATCAATTGTGAAAGAAAATTCGTGACCTGTTTTGAGGCAAATGTTTCAATCACTTCCAGCAGGTCAAATAACTCGATTATTTTGCTTACTGCAAGCGTTGAACTTAGCCAAGTGCAGAAATTAGCATTTTATTTTCATGCAATAAAAATTAGTAGAAACTTGCATCCCCTGCCAACCAAGATGCCGTAGCGCACGATTCAATGTTGGGTCAGACTTGGGAACTGTTCTTAAAATACCAAAATTTTAATTTTTATAGCGATTTTTTTAAACCAAATTACTGGGCGGCCTAAGTGGGTAATTCTGTCGTACACAAATTTGATTGTAATTGCCAGCAACAGTTGTCGATAAAATTTTTAGAAATGTTTTAGAAATGAATTCTTTCTAGAATTCCGGTCGATTGACTAAAAATGCAACGGTTCTGTAGACAAGCCTTAGTTGGTCTCGGCGTTTTCTTTCTTTCAAATTCGAACATAATTTTAAAGCTGAGAAATCTTTTATTCCGTTATTCTTAGCTAGTGATTACTAATGACCATTTATTTTGAATTTATTTAGAAATGACTCGCAATTTCCAACTATGCGCTGTACTAACTGCTGGATCGATAACGTTTCTCAAATCAATTCCTTCATTCGTTTTCTTGTAAATCAGTCAATGTCTAATCAAGGTTGCTACACTGTTTATTTTTATCTTTCCACAAATTTAATAATTACAGTGTTTACATGCATATTAAATCGATATATTTATTAGAACAACACATTGCGCTATAATTACCTAGTTCTAACATGTTCACCACCTTACAACAAATTTATTAATCTCTTAGCAATGCAATTATTAGGGCTATTGTTATTATTATTCTTGTTGTTATTCTGTATTAAAAATAATATGCGGCCAGATGGCGGGAAGAAATGTGTCAGCCTAGAAGTCTCGGTAAGCGGATGCATAGAGACGACCACTTAGCGGCATGTCCAGGCTTCTTTGCTCTGTCATCACCGCCCCCATACTATATAGTGTAGCGAGCCTCATACTCGAGCCATGCTCTCGATAAAATAAATGTGATGGGGACCCTGATAGATATTGTTTTTCCGAGAAATTTTTTTGCTTATTATCTCGCCTGGTGGGCTACCTGCTACTACGGAGTTGTTTGAGTGAAGAAAATGATGACTAATCTTATATAATTATTACGAAGACGCCGAAACCAGTGCGTTTTTATCGCATTTTCTCATTTATGGAAAAAAGGCGCTATTGTGCTCGTCATGTCCGTCCGTCCGTCCGTCCGTCTGTCCGTGATTTCACGTTTTCGTCGACGAGAAAATGCGCTCCCTGTCACTCACTGCAGTGAGTACCGAGTTATATTTTTTAAATCTATTGTCATTTGCAAATACGAGCTCATAGAGTTTCACGTTTCTT